AAGAAGTCGATTAAGAAGTTAAATATGGCTGAACAGTATAAAAGCAAAAGCTTTGAGGAGATAGACAACATACTATATAAACATTCGAGAGTGCAAAAGAAGCTTGCCTCCACAACAATAATGAAGTTTACATACGCACTGCACGCTGCAGCTATATGCGCGACAGCGGCGGCCCTAGACGATAGCTACAAGCCTGCTTCAGATGTCACCAAGCAGGTGATTGCTGACTCAGTTGCCAACCTTGACTTTTCAGATTTTACGGACTTTGAAGATGCGGATCGAGGATTTGTAGTAGCGCCGGCGAGTCTAAGAGTAGTTGATGAAAAGGGACAAGTGGCATCGGATTCCGATCCCTATCTAGAGATGATTCACGATGATATTCCTTGTCCAGACAGTGTCAATCCATCTACCTGGCGACAAGCTCAATTGATGACCCGAGTAGGAGCTTACAAAGTGATGGACAAGGTGTACCAGATTCGTGGATTCGATCTGGCGGTGATGACCATCATTGAAGCACCCGAAGGTCTTATTGTATTTGACCCCCTCGGCACCAAAGCGACGGCCAAAGAGGCGTTTGGTTTCTATTTGAAAGAGGTTGGACCGAACACGGGCGCCAATCTGACACTAGCTGCTGTAGTCTTCACACACTCCCACATGGACCACTTCGGAGGGGTTCTAGGACTGGTGGATGAGGAAACTTGGTCCAAAGGAAACATTCAGGTTATTGCACCACTCAATTTTGCCAATGAGGCACTGTCCGAAAACTACATGGTCATTGGTAATATGGGGAGACGGGCATGGTGGCAAATCGGTAATCTCCTACCTGCCAATGAAAACGCAAGTATTCATGCTGGTCTCTCGTTCACGCAATCTAACTCCCTATTCACGTACGCCGGAGACACTCTGGAAATCACAAAGGATATTGAAACACACACCATTGCTGGGATCACTTTTGAGTTTATGCTCACTTTGAGTGCAGAGGCTCCCGCAGAAATGCACACATGGGTTGAAGACTGGGGACTGCTAAATACCGGCGAGAATGCGGTGATGTCTGCACATAACTTTTTGACACTCAGGGGAGCGAAGGCAAGAGACCCAATGAAGTGGACCACGTGCATTCAACAAACTATCCAGAGATATGGCGATCGAGTTCAAACTATGATCGGTCAGCATCACTGGCCGAAGTTCGGAAACGAAAACGTAGTTGAACATCTCACCATGACCCGCGACTACATCAAATTCACTCATGACCAGGCCGTTCGACTACTGAATCTTGGATTTGGTATGGAGGAAATCAGTGAGACAATCGAAATGCCCAAGTCCATGGACTCGTACTTTAATACACGTGGGCACTACGGTCATCTCAAACACAACTCCAAGGAGGTATATCAGTTTTACGTCGGCTGGTGGGATGGCAATCCCGCAGGTTTCCAGCGTCTACCCCCGGTGGAGAGAGCGCAGCAGTTTGTGGCTGACATGGGTGGGATTGAGGCTGTTATCGAGCGAGGCCAATGGCATCACGACAACGGTAACTACCGATGGTGTGCTGAAAGCATGAACCAAGCTGTGTTCAGCGATCCTACAAACATGGAGGCCAGGTATCTGGAGGCCGACTGTTTGGAGCAAATCGGTTATGCCGAAGAGAGCGGTATCCGTCGAAACTTCATGCTCACAGGCACCCAAGAGCTTCGCCACGGCAAGAAAGTGTACCCAGAGCCAGATTTGGACGAATCGTTCCTGTTGGAAATGCCACTCTGGATGATGTTGCAGAGCTTAGAGATCAAAATGGACCCCACCATGGCCGAACAGTCCAATGGCTTGTCATTGAATTTGGAGGTGAAGGATACCAATGAGAAGTTCAACATCTTCATATCACACGCTGTTCTGATCTCCCTCCCAGTCGATGTATTACCCACCACTGCCCGTGCTACCATTACCGCTGATAGCAAAAGGGCGATGATTAATGTACTATCCACTGGTGACACCTCAGGTGTGGCTATCACAGGCGACAAGACTGCCTTTGCCGAGCTGATGGGCTGTG